TCAGCTCTTAGAGTTGAGGAGTTCACCAAACTGACTGTAAATATTACACAGAATCCAGACTGGTTTGGCTTGGGAGGGACCTTAAAGCTCATCCAGCTCCCATCCCCCTGCCATGGGCAGGGACACCTTCCACTATCCCAGGATGCTCCAAACCCCATCCAGCCCAGCCTTGGACACTTCCAGGGATGGGGCAGCCACCACTTTGTCTATGTATAGAGAAGATAAAAAACCTCAGTATACAAATTCTTGTGCACTTACTCTGAACAATTTCATTTTCCAAACTGTGTAATTTTGCCAAAATCTCCAAAGATGACATTGTTTTATGACTTTTACGATTAAGTTACTTTAAAAAAAAGTGCAAGCAGAAATTTTTTACTGTTCTTAGGTATGGTCTTGAAAAACTCTTGGGTTAGTAATGCCTACTGCTGAATCCCCCAGCAGAAGGGCAGGATTGCTGAGACAGGCTGGCTCTTACCTCCCAGGCATAGAGGATGTGCCTCAGCCCCAGCTGCTTGTAATCGATGAAGGGATTCTGTCTTAAGTGACTGAAGGCCATGTGATAGTCAGAGAGAGCATCTTCAAACCTGCAGCGCAGAGGTGACAGGAGAAACTGAGGCTAAAAAAGCTGAAGACTGTTTAAGGAGTTCAAAAATCAAGCAGATAACATGTCTTCTGCTCTGCAAGCCTGGGTGAGGAGAGCTGCACCAGAGCTGTGTCATCTTGTGACCACTGTCCTCTCCCTGCTGGTAGACAGCACACAATGAACATGGTGTGTCTCTCCTCTGGGATTACCTGCACTGCTTTACTGACTGGGATGAACAGGAGGCCTTGATCCCTGGAACAGTCACAATTCCAAGGAGGAGAAAATGTAAAGAACAAAGACTAACCACTGCTGTGAGCTCCTTGCCCAGGCTGCTGCTGGCAGTGCTGTCCCAGCACGTGTCTGGGAGGAGTGAGGGCTGTGGGAATGCTGTGGGAACCCCACTGATGGTGAGCAGTGAGGGCATGGCCAGGGAAGTAAGAGCAGAAATTTAGAAAAACTCCAAGGATAAGGAGGGAATTGGTCTGCATTTACACCAGTTACACGTCTGAAATCCAAACAGGTTCCCACTGAGGCTGCAGGTGGGGAAAGGAAGGGTCTAGGAAGGGCTGTGCAGTGGGTACCTGACCAAGGGCCAGTGAGCACGGCCAGGAGAAGGTGCCCAGGTGAGTGAGGGGGTGGGAGCAGCATCTGGTGAGGGAAGGAGCCATGGGGTGCTGGTGGCCACCAGCTCTTTGGGCAGGAGGCAGGTCTGCCAGCTGTGCTGCCCCTGCAGTGTGTGTGTGCTTGGGGCACAGTGCTCTGCTTCTCCTGGCTGTACAGCAGCTCCAGTGAGCCAGACAGGGCTCCACCAGCCTGGACTGGGGTTCTGTGGACAGAGGCACAGAGCCTGGAGCTGCCTGACAGCACAGCTGTGAGTGCAGAACTGCTCACTTTAACTCCCTCCCAGAAATTAAGGTCTGGAAAATACGGGGAAAATAACAGGAAAGAGAATAACTGAAGCTCAAAGGTAAGAAGAGATCTTCAAACCTGAAGAAAATACTTCACCCACTTCTCTGAGCAGGATGCCACTGTGATTTAACCATGGAAACAATGAGTAATCAATCTCATGACACTACTGGAGCAATCTCAATCTTTTATCAGCTGTCAGCAGAGAATGGCAGTCAGACACTGTGGGCAGACTACAATTTTAAGGAAGGCCAGACTCATGTGTGTCATGTGAAGACACACCAAGCAGCCCAATTATATTTTTTTAATTCCTAAAGAAAATCTGAATGGCAACATAACATCCTGGCAGCCCCAGGAGTCTCTGTGTGTACAGGACAGCAATCTCATGTGTTAGCCACCCCTGGGGCCCCAGAGTTGTGCAGCTCTTACCAGAGATAGGACTTGCTGACCTGTGACATGGTTTGCAAGGCCAAAGCAGACCCTGTGAGCTATTTAAGATTGCTGGAAGAAGTGAATTTTAGAATCATAGATCATTTAGGTTTAGTAATAAAGCATGGCTGGAAGGAGGGAACCAAAGACTGCCCTGGTGTGCACCTCACTCACATTTCCAGCTGCAGGTGGACCAGCCCTCTCTGGAAGTAGCCCACAGCCAGGGAATTGTCCTTCGCCACGGTCTGATCGAAGGCCTAAGGAGGCAAACACAGGCACATCCCCAGGCTCAGCTGGGATCTCCCCTGTCCGTGCCTGGGCACACCCCCCCAGCCAGCCCTGCCCTGGCTGCCCTGGCAGAGGCAGTCCCTGTGTCCAGCTCCAGGGGCTGCACACAGCCCTGAGACATCTTTCAGGTCTTGGCTCTGTACGAGCCGAGCCTCACGTTTTTATCTCTCCTTGCTACGATGGACTGGACATTCATGAGCTACACTGGCCACCTGGCATCTTGTAATGGGAAGACTGTGGAGCCTGGAGCAGTTTGCTGGGACAGGGGGAGGCTGGGGAAGGCTGCGTGAAAGGGACGGAGCTGCAGGGCTGCACACAGTGGCCTCTAAGTCAGTATTTCTGGTTCAGTTCCACACCTAAATACAGGCAAGCACTAGCAGAGCTGGCAGCAGCTCATGGCTGCTGGTTCAGAGTAACTCTGAGCTGGGAAAGCTGTGTGTCATCCTGAGACGCTGAGGAGGTGTCCTCCTTCCCTTGTCACTGCAGAGACCGCATGGAGGTGACAGCTCCTGAAACCCAGACTTCCCTGACACTGCCTGGACAGGGGTAGCACTGCAGGGTGAAGACATGCAGCAGGAGGTCAGGGAGTGACTGTGTCTCCTGATGAGGTGGTGCCTGGTTTCTGTGACTCCAGAGCACACCTTACTGGCACTGTCTGCCTGACTGTGCTATAAATGAAATAACCAACAACCAGCTGTTGAGCTACACGGAAGTAGAGCTGAGCCTCTTCCCAGGCAGTGCCCATTGACTGGGGCTGAAAAGTCTCTCTTGGGCACCCCTATGACGTGCTCAGTGTGTCCCCAGTAGCAACTGCCCTGCCCGGGGCCCCACGGCTCTGCCCCAGCTCCTACAGCACAGACTTAGCTCCTCTTTCTGCTGTTTAAGGAAAGGCTTATCTGCACCTCCTTACTGGGCCCTGACAGACAGACACACAGACAGATGGATGTGCAGACATGCCAGGTGCTGTCACAAAAAGGCTCTTCCTCAGGGCAGCTGCTCTCGCTTCCCAAAGGCAGCAGTTTTCCAGCACAGCAGCTTCATTCTGTCAGTCTCCACTGCCAAGCAGCACATTTATTTTTTCAAAATACACCTATCTGATTTCTAAATCCGTGCCTATGTAACAGCTATTGGACAACTTCTGCCTGCTTTGATTTAAAGCTACAATGCAGTAGAGGTGTGGTTTTCACATTATAATGAGCTAAGCTCACTTAAAGCTGACTTAGCGTGAATAAAACTTTAGGTACATTGCCAAATGTGGTTTCTAGTATCTAATTTAAGGTTTCCGTGTTCCTATTATCTCTTCACTTCCAAAACTATTTTGCAATACCTTGAAATTTCCCACTTACCTGGGTTTTCATAATATCTGTAAAACCATGGAATCACAGAATCATTAAGGCTGGAAAAGACCTCAAAGCTCATCGAGTCCAACCATTAACCCAGCACCATGGACTTACAACGAATCCACAGCCCCAAGTACCACAACCTTTTTAACTTCAATCTTTCTAAGTTTTCTACAATTCACTTTACAAAATCTTTTCCTTAAATCGCTCATCTCAAACTTTAAACCACTCATCTTAAACCTTAAACCCTCGCTGTCTGCATTCCTGCCGGGCGTGCAGGACACGGAATGCTGGATTTTAACTCGAGTTGCAGCATCGTCCCCTCAAAGATGGGCCTGGGGGAGCCGTGCTGCCCATCGCTGTGACCGCCTGTCCCCCTGCCCGTGCCCCCCTGACCCCTGGGATCCCCCGGCCCGGTCCCTCACCCTCAGAGCCGCCTCTGGCCGCCGGGCCAGCAGCTGCACGCAGCCCATGTTGAAGCAGATCCGCGCCGGAGGGTCGGGGATGGCGCCGAAGCTCTCCAGGGCCGCGTCCCAGTGCCCGCGGTCTGCAGCCCGCACCCCCTCGTGCCAGCGCCGCACCAGCTCCCGGTACGCCATGGACGGGGCTCACCCAGGGCTCACCTCAGCCCCCCTCACCTGAACCCCACCTGGGGCTCACCTGCCTCACCTGCCGGGCGGGGCGGGGACGGGCGGCCCCTCCGCCCCCTCCGCTCCTCCCCCGGGCGGCGGAGCCCGCCCGTGCCCGGGGACACGGACGGGAAAAGGACACGGGGATGGGACACAGACCCCTTGGGGAGACACGGATCCCATGGGGGCACATGGACCCCGGGAGTGGTCACGGACCCTGGGAAGGGAAACGGACCCAGGGATGGGACACGGACCCCGGGAGGGGACACGAATCCCGTGAAGGAAAACGGCCCCCGGAATGGGTCATGGACTCTAGGAGGGGACACAGAACCCTGGGAAGGGACACCGACCCTGGGAGGGGCACACGGACCCCGGGGGGACACACGGACACGCGGATGGGACACGGACCCCGGGAGGGGACACGGACACAGGATTGGGACACGGACCCCGGGAGGGGACACGGACCCCGCGAGCCGTCGGGGTAGAGCGGCGAGGGTGGCGGCTACACCTGAGCGGGCAGCGGTGGGATGCTGCTCGCTGAGAGCAGCGGTGGGCACCTGAAGAGCCAGCAGAAGCGATCCTGGCCCGTGTCCCCGCCCTGCGGCGTCCAGAGCGCCGGTTTGGGGCTGTTTAGACTAAATGTTACGGCCACATAGTTGTGCGCGTCAACTCCAGTAAGCACGGCAGGCGCCCTGGTAAATACGGTAGCTCCCCTGCCCCGCCCCTCGCCCTCGCGCTGCCGCGGGCGACAGCGCCCCCTGCCGGCGCTGCATATCGGCGCCGCCGGAAAAGGAGACCGGTGGGGACGCGCGGGCTGCGCGCGGGGAGTTCCGGGGCCGCTCGGGTTTCCCGCGCGGAGCGGGGGGAGCGGGGAAGGCTTTGAGCGGCGGCCCGTTGGCTGAGGGCGCTTCCGGGCGGCGCAGGTGAGTCCCGGGGCGGCCCCGGCAGGGCCCGGGCGGGGCCGGGCCGGGCACCGCGCTGGGAGCGGGGGAGCGGCCCCGCACGGGGAGCCTCGCACGGGGCCGCGCCGGGGGTTCGCTCGACTAAAGCCCCCAAGTGTCCCTGGCCCTCCCGGGGCCGTGCCGGGGTCGGAGGGGGCTGGGGAGGGAGCGGGGAGCCCGTGTGTGCAGGGTCACAGTTACAGTCGTTAATTACACACCTTGCAGCCCCAGAGCGGCCTGGCAGCTCTCAGTGAGTTAGTGACAGGTGTCAGGGGAGCCAAAGGAATCCCCGCCGTCCTGTGATTGGGGGGTTTCAGACAGCTCAGATTTAGACAAATTGATTGAGCTCCCCATCGCCGATTTTTAAATGTTGTGGAAAACGGGAAAGTAAAGTCAGAATCACAGAATCAGCGAGGTTGGAAAAGACCTTTGAGGCCATCGAGTCCAGTCTGTGACCCAGCACCACCTTGTCCCCCAGGCCACGGCACTGATGCCACCTCCAGTCTGTCCTTAAACACCTCCAGGGACCGTGACTCCACCACCTCCCTGGGCAGCCCGTTCCAATGTCTCATCACTCCCTCTGGAAAGTCCAACCTAAAGCTCCCCTGGTGCAGCTCAAGACTGTGCCCTCTTGTCCTTCAGGGGTCGGAAATCCACACCTGGAAAGATAATGTGTTTTAGGAAAATACAGTTTGTTGACCTTATGTCAGTAGCAGGAATAAAATAAAATGAGCAGGGGAAACCTTGTAAATAATTAGATGCTGCAAATACAACAAACGTAGAGATTAAAAGCTGAACAACATGTGCTTGGCAAAGAGATTCCCCCCGTGTTCCTTCTTGAGAGAGGATTGCAGCATCTGGCTAAGTCAGCTGATGACACACTTAGTGTCACGTACTTGGAATTTTCTGAGGAATTGTACTCTAATATGACCTGACAGTTTAATTAAACAAAGGTGGTGTGGCAAGGCAAAGTTTAAGTATTACCTTAAGAGCAAATCCCACATCAGTTGTTAATTGTGAGCCATAAATGAGTGGGATTCAGCTCCTTCACTTCCCAGATCCATGTTCAGGTGGGGCCTGAGCCCAGAGCAGGTTTGTCACCTCTGCTGACACAGAGGCAGGTGGGCAGTGAGAGATGTTCCTGCTGTGCCTGGATGGGTGGTTCCAAGTGGCAGAAGGATCTTGGTGCCACAGAAGGTCTCCAGCCTGCAACAGCTTCCACCACAGACAGAGGGGACTGCCAGGGTGGACATCCACCAGTGACACAGTTGGAAATTCACTGTTGTGTGTTCTTTTCTTTTTCTAGAGAAAATGGAGCTACAGTGATCATGTGTGTGCATGTGGTTGTTAGATCAGGCTGCCAGAGCATCTCCAGTTACAGGAGCTCTCCAGTGAGATAGGAAAATACTGGAGAGCTCAGAGGAGGCCACAAAAATGCTCCAGTTCTGGAAAACAAACCCTTAATGAGCTCAGTTTATTCAGGCACATCCAAGAGAAGGGAGTTCAGGAGTGACTCAGCCACTCTGGAAATCCATGCCTATGGGAAAGTTATCCCAGAGCTGGGTCCTGTCAGCCTTTCCAACAATGGGATCCAGTAACTGAGAGGCAAAGCTGCACAAATTCTTATAAATGTGACCCAATTTCCCAGCAGTGCTGGTGGTTCATTACAGGAATAGTTCAGGGGGAGGTTAAAGGCCTGTCAGTGTCTGGGGCTCTTCAGCTCAACCATAACAGTGTTGAGGATGTTTAAAGCAGAACCTTGGGCAAGTCCCTGGGGCCAGGCCGGGCCAGGGCTTTGGGGAACTCTGGGAGATCCTCACTGAGGCACCTCCTGGGCTCTGCTCGGGCTGCTGGGCTGCAGGAATAGCAGGGGGGTATTTTTGATGTTGCTGAAGGGCTGGTGGTCTAAAGACAGGTTTAAGCAATCTCAGGCTTTTGGATGAAGCTCTTCAGGGAGCAATTCCACAGGCTGTTCTTCCAGAGGAAAGTGAGATTAAGGAGCGTTTCTTCCTCCGCTGTTGTTTAAATCAGAGTTTGGGCACAGCAGAGAGCTGTGCTGCCCCAGTGCAGGGAATCCCCTCCCACATTTACTCTCTTGTCCCCATGTGTTTGCAGTTGATCCAGGTGGGAGGTCAGGAAGGGATTCCCAGCAATGGCCGCTTTTTAAGTCACATGCAAGTGTTTCATGCTTAGCAAAAGCAGAGTTTTCCTGATGGGACATTCTGCTGTTATTGTTTACCTCATCAGGTTCTTGTAAAGGGATTTTGGGAGTTTGTCTCAAACTTGGAATGGTTTGAGTGGGAAGGACCTTTAAAGCCCATCTGTTCTAACCCTCTGCAGTGAGCAAGGATGTCTCCAGCTGGATCAGGCTCCATGTACTTCAGTAGGACAAGGGTGCTTTGAGGGCAGGAGGATTTATGAAAGGTGTTGGATGTCAGGGTCAGCTAGAGGATCCACTGACTCACTCTGAAATTATTACTTTTTAGTTAAAATAAATCAATAAATCTCCCCGTGCTCCCATGGGCAGTGAAACTGCCTGTTACACAGCACTGTGCACTTTGGTGCTCTCTGAGGGCTTGCTGCCTCCCTGGTTTTACATGGAAACAGGCACCTGCCCATGGCTGGGGGCAGCCTTTTGGCACAACCATCACTGATAGCCAGGACTTCTGATATCATGGTTTATCTCATGGTATCTGCAAGCAATAGAGCAGGAATAATCAAATTTTAGCATGTGGAGCAGAGCCAGCAAAATGCGTCTTCTGGAATGTAAATGCTCCCTCAGAAAAGCTCTGTCTGGAGTTTTTAAGGCAGAAGTGCTCTCTGGGAGAAATCCTGACACTCCCCTGCACAGTTTTGGGGTGGTGACAGTTCAGCAGTTGCAGGAAACTTCTCATCCTTCTTTGTGGTGTCGAACACGCTGCTCATCTGAAACCACATCAGATCAGTGCCTGGGGCACATGCAAAGGGTCAGGGCTCAACAGAACACTACAAATTGCTCCTTTCCATGGCAAACACAAATTGGCAGAGCTGGAACAAGGGTAATTCCTGTTGTTCTCCAAAGGCAGCTTGGAGAGAGGTGAGGGCCAGCAGGGAGTGGGCCCTGTGTTGTGAGTTCTCAGCCCTGTGGTGGGACAGCTGGGGACCTCTTGCACAGGGAGATCCCAGTTCACAGAGGGTCGGGTCTGTGCACTCAGACAACCACAGTAGTTGCTCCTGTGAATAAATAATTTATCCAAACGTGCACTAAATAACTTGCTGATGTGTGATGTAGCCTGGGACGAGAGGGAATGAGGGGGCACAGCCACCTCTGGGCCAATGACAGAGACATTTTATTGGAATTGAGGGTGTCCTTCTGAACCAAATTTTAATAATTTGATTGAAAAGCTAATTACTGAGTTTGTATGTATAATATACCTCTAGGTAAAAATTTTTTTTGTACCTCTGAGGATTTGTGGTGCTCTGGCAGCCTCCTCAGCAGCTCTCTTGGTAACCAGGGACACTGGCTGGCCACAGAGGAACTGAGCAGTGTGTGAGGAACAGAAATACATGAACAGAAACAGGGCATGTGCTGGGGGCTGAACATCCTGCTGGTTCACATTTTCACCTCTTAATTGAATGAATGTGTAATAAATTGATAGAGTGTTGGTAGATGTTGGTAGATGTCAGTGATAAAAGTCTGAAAAAATCTTGCAGAAAAATGAAAGAGGGGAGTCTGTATATGTGGGATTCAGAATTCTGGAAGGCTGTTTTCCCAGAGGATAAAAGTCTTCATTCTTTTGGAATCCATGTGGAGGTTTAGTTGCACTGTGACCAAATGGCTTAACTTGGGCCTGGAAGATGAGAGTCTTGTCCAGGTGTTGTAGCTCAGGAGCAGGGAGTCCTTTCCCAGCTGTTCTCACTGCCTGCTGGGTGATTCGGGGCAAATAGTGCTTGGTGGACTGCAGGTCAAAATCAAGCAATAAACCCTGCTTCTGTCATTTACAACTTATTTAGTCTCAGCATTGCCACTCGCTTGGGCTGTTGCTCTGGGCACAGCCCGTGGTGCTGGCTCTAAGGAGGGATAGGCCTGTTTGAATTGCTGCTGCCAAAGACATTTCTATAGCAGAAAAAACTCCAGTTGCTAATTTTTACAGAATAATCCTCCTTGCAGTGTCTTCTCCAAGGAGTAGGTGGCCTGATGAAGCTAAAGAAAGATGAAGTGTTTTGGAATCTGATCAGACCAGGAACAGTTAACAATTCTTCAACTTCTGTCTGATCACCTGTGAAACCTGAGTCCTGTTCCTTCACTGACCAATATCCCACTGGACAAGGGTGTGTATTCCCTGTTCTTACCACATTGTGGATCTTGAAGAAGGAAGTTGCCAATGAAGAAAAAGTATATATAAATAATGGAAGAATTAAGCAAAGGAAAAAAGTTCTGATTTATATTGTGTAAACATTTGAAGAGTAACAGCACTGGAACCACTTTTAAACTGCCCTATGAGGAGTGGTTGGTATTGGTGTCCTGGTCATGAGCTGCTGTTCCTGCAGCCTTACCTGCCCTTACTCCTGGTGGTACTGACATAAAAAGTGCATGAAAGCCTGTTTTTTTCTGTCGTAGTGGAGCAGCCCAGTGCTTCAGTCCCTCCAAGTCTGTCTGTGAGAGCAGGAGAGACTCGGGCTCTACGTGGATTTCATGCATTTCAATAATTTCCTCTTTATTACATCTCCAGCTCTGCCAAGGATACAGTCACACTTCTTGTTAGGTCTAAATGTGTGGCTGCTGTCATTTTAGACTCCTTTGATTAATATAAAACTTTTTTTTCCTCATTCCATGGCTATTGATACCCACACAATGTGATTTACTCTTGGCTGTTGCTCATCTTGCCTTCAAAAGCAGAATATCTTGCAAGGGCTTACCCTTAAAGCTCTGCACATAACTGCACTTCAGTTACTCATTTCAGAGGTTAATTTGCTCTTGCATTTTTCCGCACTTTTTAATCTGTGCTGAAACTTCCTGTTCTATGGTTCAAAAGACACTATCTGGTAATTTTTGATTTTCACAGGAATTCATTGAGCCTTGTTTGGGTTACATGTTCATGGAGGAAAAGTCTCATTTTCAAAACGGCCAAGACACTGTCTGTCCACTGCTAATCTTTGTAATGTCAAACTCTGCCTGAACCTCCTCAAGGAATAAGCTGTTGTGTCAGGAAAAGAGTTGGCTGGAACGTGGCAGTGCTGTGAGGAGTGTTTGAACACGTGAGCACAGGAGGGAATCTGCACTGCTGGGAAATCCTGGCTATACCAAACTGCTCCACGTGGCTTTTCTTGGGTTATACGATTGCCTGTACATTTTTGGAAAATACTCCTTGAGGAGTAACTCCCACTGTTACAAACTTAAGGGAGATGGGTTTGGGTGTTTGAGGAGGGCAGTGCAGCTGTGCTGGACAGGCCAAAGCTGCTGTGTCAGCCAAGAGTGTCACTGTCTGGGGCTCTTTGTGAGCAGTGGTGGCCGCTGGGTCAGTGGATGGAGGGATTGGAGGTGTCCTGGTGGGGCTGTGTTTGTAGAGGTGGAGAATCTGTGTGGCTCAGGACACTGGTTCTGTGAATGGTTCATCACATCAGCACAGTGTTCTGCCTTGTCTTTAGTGACACTTACCCACATAAAATCACAGAATAACTTGAGTTGGAAGAGACCCACAAGGACCATCCAGTCCAACTCCTGGCCCTGCACAGACACCTCAACAATCCCACCCTGGCCCTCAGAGCGTTGTCCAAACCCTCCTGGAGCTCTGGCAGCCTTGGGGCTGTGCCCACTGCCCTGGGGAGCCTGGTCAGTGCCAACCACCCTCTGGGGGAAGAACCTTTTCCTGAGATCCAACCTGAGCCTGCCCTGACACAGCTCCAGCCATTCCCTCGGGTCCTGTCCCTGGTCACAGAGAGTTGTAGACTGCTCTGGGGTCTCCCTTCAAATCACCTCATGATCTTAACTTTACTGTAAAAATGTTTAGCACGATGTAAAAAGTTGTCAAGTGTGTAAGACAGGTTCAAGGAAGCATTTGCTGCCTACCAGTCTACCTTCTCAAGTTTGCACTGACCCAGGTGCTGGTTGGGGCCGTGGGGGTGAGGTGTTGTGTGGTCAGGTGCACAATGTGCTCACAGGTCTCTTTTCTTCCCTGCAGCTCCGTGGTGGCAGTGGGACCCCCAGGCATCCCTCGGCAGTTAACGCCTTCACTGTCCTTTGGGGTGAGTTTGCTGGGTCTGGGGGCACAGCCCACATCTGGTAGGATTGGGGCAGCACAGCTTCAGGAACTCCTACCCCTTTCCAGTCTGTCTTGCAGGAGCTTGGGAAAGGATTGTTTTCACCTTGTGCTCCCAGCTTGGGTGTTGGGGACAGCTGAGGGTGTCCTTGGTGCAGGACAGAGCAGGAGGGAGGGGGCAGGAGCTGCACGGGCTGCTCTGGCTGTTCTGAGCCCACACTGAGCAGCTGTGCTCTCGTGGGATATCAATGGGTAGATCTTTAGGGGGAAGGAATGGTCCTATTCTGACAATGTGATGTTGAGATTATTAAAATGAATGTCTATTCTGAGGATCAATGTGGAGTTTGTTTCTCAAGGTAATATGAACTTCCTTGGTTTGCACGATGGTTCACACAGGTGGGTGAAAGGGAACTGGACTGTAAACCAAGGAGTGGACAGTAAACCAAGTGCCTGTCATACAAACATAACTAGTCCTGTTTCATCACTGTAGCTTGTGTGACCACTCTTATATGCAGACATCCTTCAAATAATCAATATTCTATGGTACAGTGGTGTATTAGGGAATAGATTTATGAGGATTCCATTTTGATTTGTGAACTTCATTCGTGATATTCACTTATTTTTGTAAAGATTGATTTAACTACATCCTATGTTGAAAAGTTACCCAGCAGTTCCTTACAGATAAAGCAGATTGTGTAGAGCTCAGTTTAATTTAAAAAGTTGTAGTGGGTTAGCTGTTATCTGATTCAGTGTCATTTCTTCTCATGGAATGGGAGAACTGTGAATTTTCCTATCTTTAGTACTGATATTCCTCGGTGATGATTTACATAATACAGGGCACTATGAAATATCTGTGCAGGAGCAGTCTCCAGTTAGTGTGTATCATCTGCTTTTCCCTTTTCAAATGGAAACAAAGCTTGGTGTTTAACGAGAAATTTCTGGAAAGGCTCATTTTGGGTTTTTCTGCTGTCCTCTGTGTGTGTGTGTGAAATGCAGCTGCAGCCTCGTTAGAGGGCACTCTGGCCTCACCCACGGGGAGCCCGAGCAGCCACATTCCCAAACCAGGTCTCTGGGGAAAAGTCCTGATGCAAATGTCCTTTACCCCCCAGAGCAGTAAGAGAAGCCCGAGCTGGATTGCCCTGGGTACTAATGATCCAAGGCAAGACCCTGTGCTGTGGGCTGATTTCATGCTTGTGCTCTGTGTGGAACATGGCAACAATCTATTAGAGAATTCACTGTAGTTTTCCAAAGGTGAATTAATTAGAGTAACTTGCTTTTCTTGTGGCCTTTACCCATAAACTGCCCTGATTTTAAATGTATATTCATTTTGGAATTTCTTTGGGTTGCTATCAAGTTCAAAAAAGTCAATCTGTTATAAAAAATAAGTTGCTTCAGAAACTCTTGGGTTTTAATACCAGCCCTTATATCAGTTCTGTCTGTGCCTTTGGCAAACAGCTTGTCATGTCTCCTTTCACTTTCCTTCTGAAAAAAGAGGATAATGATTTTTAAATTGGAATAATTACTCAAGTATATAAATGTGCTTTGAAATCTGAAGTGTTTTAGAATTTTTTAAAAATATAATTAAAATATTGAACAAAGCAGGAGTCAGAGAAATCAAATTTAAGACCATGATTATTGCTCAACTGCTTTGGTGGTGCTTCTGTTCTGGCAAGATTATAGAGCCAGATCATTTGCATTACTTTTGATTTCTTGATGTTTTTAGTTTTTTGTCCAAGCAGAAGCATTTTTCATATGCAGGAGTCAGATTGTCTGTAAACATAAACACAATCTTACCTTTGTCCAAACATACCTTGTTTTGCTTTCACAAAACCAAACCAAACTGGTGGGACCCGAAACGATTTCTGAGCAATTAGCACTGACTCATAGCCACAGTGGGGAGGCTTGGCAAAACCCAGGGCATGTTTCCTAGGCTGGAGCCATCCCTACAGGGCATAAACCTCAGCTTTAAGGTATGGCTTTATTCAGCCTCTGAATTCCCCCTCTGTGAGAGCAGTTCAGGGATGAGCTGGGTTCTGTGTCACTGTTCCTTGGGGCACTCGTGTGCCTCTCCAAGGTGGGAGAGGAGGCACAATGAGGGGCCTCAATGTGGCAGGGCCAGCCAGGGCCAACTGACTGACCAGCTCCTTCCTGGGAAGGATTCCTTCCAGCTGGGACTGGCACATCTGCCTTGCCAGGGAGCTTTACTCCCAGGTGCAGCTTTGTTATCCATGGGGTAAGGACAATAAACACTGGCAATAGGAGGTTCTGTGCTCCAGCCAGGAGACAGCACTTTGCTTGGATTTCTGAATTACTCTGTAGGGCTTCCATGAACTCTGTTGGCCACGAGACTCCGTTCTCCACAATCAAAGCAGAATAATAAGAAAAAGTACTGGTCAGGCCATCTTTTTCCTCTCCTAGTTTTTAATCTCATCTTGTGCCTTCCCTTTCTGTCCCACTAGAACAGCTCCTCAGCTTTTTGGCAAGGAGGGGTTGCCTGCAGTAGGAGAGCTGAGATGTTCCTGCTCCAAGGTTCTCCGGTGTCTGTCCCAGCTGGAGATGCAGGAGGAGGCAGCAGCAGCTGAGCTGAGAGGGGCCATGTGGGTGGCTGCAGGTGTGTGGGAAGCAGCTGTGGAGACACTCCTGCAGCCTGGGAGGCACCTGATGGCACAGGGGGAACAGCTCTTCCAGTCAGGTCTGGGTGAGGTATCCTGGCAAACCAGCCCTTGGGATAAATGCAGGCACTTGTGTGATTCCCAGCTCCCACCGCTCTCCTGGGAGGGTGGCAACAGCTTCTCTGGGCCAAGGGAGTGGGCCAGGGAGAGGGAGCAGCCCAGACCTGACCCAGGGCTGTTGTGTGGCCCCTGGATTGTTTCAGGGAGTTGGGAATACGGCAGCGAACAAGGCAGGCTGGGATGGCTTCCCAGTGACTGCATCATCTGGAGTTTCTGAGGAACCTTTTATTTGTCTGCCTGGCAAATGGATTTTAAGGTGGAATGGAATATACAGGGACTCCTCTGGCAGAGAAAAAGCAGTTACTGAGCTTAAAGCATTTCATCTGTGGGGCTGGGGATTGTGTTTTTCATGGTTTTCAAGAGTGTTTCTTGTACTCTTGTGATTTAAGTTAATGACACTGGGATTCATACTGTGAATGACAGAGGCTTCAGCCAAAATCTTCACCCCCTTGGTGTTGTTCTCCATCCCATATTCAGATCCCTGTCATGTTTTACCACAGTCTGGGTGTTCTAAAAAAGGCTGGTAATCCAGGAGCTAGTGACATTACAGAACACGCTCAAGAGGAGCTCCAGCCTGCTTGTATAAAACACTTTCCTTCAGTTTTGAGTAACATCTCCTAGAAATATTTTCTTACAGAACATTTTTGTGGAACTGAAAGTTTCATTTGATGATGTTTTGGTCTTTGTCATTGTTTGAAGAGCAGCTGGTGTTCTGTGGTGACCAGTTTGCCTGGGTTAGCCAACGCCATCTCCCAGCACCGTGTACTGAAGGGTGTAATAAGTGACATGCTGGTGTCATCTCTGCTTTAGCTCTGAAATCAGTCCCAGGTACAATCTAATCTATATTAAAGAAGCTGGTTGCAGTTCTTGGTCCCATCTCTGGTTACAATCAGTATTGTACTTAAAAGGTTTCTGCCCAGTGCTGATTTTCCCCCTGAGCAGCACAGTGTCCGTGGGGATCTGGGGGCCCAGTGCTGGTTCTGGGCAGTTGTTTTGAGGCTGGTGATGTGACTGAGCTTTCTTGAGCCCATTCCTGCTGTTCACCTACCCTCAGGCTGACGTTCTCACAGGGCAGTTCTTGTGCTGGCACAAATTGCTGTGTGATGGGAGCAGGCAGCAAGAGCTGCAGAGTGTTTCCTGCTTAAAAAAATCAGTGAAGAAGCCACTGCTAACAGAGGTGAAGGGAAGAAGTACAACTGTGTTTATAAAAACACAGGAGAGGAGCATAATGGGGAAAGCTTAAATTGAGGGCAGTCTTCTGCCTGATGTGATGATGTAATGGAGCAAGCACCATTTTTTCCTTCCTTTTTTTCTCGTTTCAGTAGGAGCAGTTTAGCTCAGAGCCCAGTGGTGCTGTCTGGCTGACTTGTCATAGGTTTAAGCATCAGAAAGTAAATATTTTTATGTAGAGCAAAAGCAAAACTTTGGGGATATGCTTAAAACACAAAAGAAAACAAAACCAAAAGAACAAAACCAAAGAAAGTCTTTGGTGTACAGTGTCCAGAGTGATTTTAAAATGCTCTTTTTCCATGCCTAAATAAATGGTGATTTCAGCCAAAGAGAAATCTTTCCTTGTGATTTATTACACTAATTTAGATATAAGCCCTCTGAGCAGGATTGTCAGTTTACTAGAACAGCCTTCTTTCTCCTTTCAGATTTAATCCACATGTTGTTGTATCAACAGAGCCTTTGTCTCTGCTCAGTTATGAATTATCCTTTTTTAATAATAATATTAAAAAAAAGTGAAAACACATGTTTTTTACAGCCCTATTACAAAGAAACATGGGATGACATAGGGAGAGGTGACCATCAAGTGGTGACTCTGATTTGTAAGTAACTTCAAAGTGATGCTGCTTATAAAAGGGTGAAAAATGGCCCTTTTCCCTCTCCCTGGGCAGGGACTGTAGAAGCCCAGCAGTGAAAAGAGGAGGCAGCATTTTCTTTAGCCAGGATTTCCGAGATTTTTTCCCCCAGCTTGTGCAGTGATGCTAAACGTGCTCTTTTTAGTTAACTCTAATTTCCTTCCTTTTTTGTTTTTTTAAGGAGAACTTATCCAGAGGTGTATGTAATTCACATTTCCTTCCTTCCTGCCTTCCTCCCCTGCAGAGAAGGAGTTCTTTCTTGGACCCCTCCTGTTTTCTAAATGGAGAGGAATTACTCTCAGGAAACTCATGAGTTTGGTATTATTTCTATACTTGGTTTTGTGAGAAAACATTTATTTTGAGTATAAATGCTTACTTGATACCTGCATGAG